TGCTGACTCCAGGCCTTAACCCGACCTTTATTATTCTTTTTAAAAAGTGAATTTATCTTTTAACCTGACCTTTATATTAACCACATACACAGCAATTTTTAGGCAAATTAAAGCCCTTTAAATACATTTTTAGATTAATAAATTGATGAAGGCAACCTATCATGAACTATATTAATACATTTCAGAGTTTAAATAGAAATTGTAAGTTCTAAGGTGGATCGATCCTTTTGCTCATATTGTAAATACAAAGATGACTGACAATGGTTGAAATTGCCTGGTAAACAGCTTTGTGTATGGCCATCATAAGGTTCTCTCTTACACTTTAAACGTATGTAAACAATAAGCATTTTGCTTCTTTTTAGTCTTTTAAATATACATTTACATATACATTTAAAAGGATTTTGTTATATCTGTTTGATAGGTGCAAAAAAAAAAAAAAACAACAAAAAAAACCTCTTGATCCTGAAGCCAGAAATCTTGTAAGATGATAGCCCCTTGTGTTCTTTCCCTTTTAGGTGTCAGCATAGTTCCCAGCTCTGTCTGTGGACAGAAAGATGGGGAGGTGTTCCTTAGCCATGTACTAGAGTGAGCATAGAGCAGTAAGTGAGCATTAGGAATAGTGTGCAGATTTGTCACTACCTAGGTAGAAGGCATATTCTGCACAGTCAAAATTTGCAGCTCCATTGAATTTGTCATAATCCGCTTAAGCAAATTTTTTAAAAACGCAATGCACTGCATGGCCATTGAGCCATGGTCAGCGGGTTTAGAAGTGCCGATAATGAGGCTTTCTGGAAAATCCAACCCCTTCACTATAAAAGAGGGGTACAGAGCAAGAAAGTGACAGACTATTGAAGCTACTGAAAAGAATAGGGCCATTTAAGCAACTGGATAGGGAAATATTGGGGTCAGTTAAGAGAATGTACTTTAATTCTGATTGCTAGCTGTTTGAGCGATCAATCTTTTTGCTAGCCTCTTTTGGTTTTACTATTAGGGGGTTTTTTTTTATTTATTTTGTGGTGTGGTGAATTAAAGAATACGTTCACCATATTCAGGGTGTACCATGTAACATATCCACAGAAAAGAGGCAGTGCTTACTGGGATTTACACAAGGAGGTGAGATATTGGTGCACAGGCTCAGATTGTCTTCCCTTCACTCTGTAGCAATAACTGGAATAGGCAGCCGGAAGCTCGAATCATCCACACAATAATCTTTATTTGCCAAAGGTTAGATACAGAGTGGAAAAGTTTAATACAGAGTAGAAAAGCGGGGGTTCTTCTTCCCACACCCGCTGTCACAATTTCCTGTGAATTAATAGACTACAACAGGGGCAGACTGACCATTTGGAAACTCGGGCACTGCCCGAGGGCCCGGGGTCAGTAGGGGGCCCCATGAGATGCCCCTGATACCTTTTTCTTAGGCTCTTTTGAGTTTGGCCAAGGACACAGGAGCCCCATGATCCCCTATTGCCTGGGGGCCCCATGAGTTGTCAGTCCGCCCCTGGACTACAATAACCATTTACCATTTCGACTGACGGCTTGTAGTTCTCAATGAACTGTTAGGGCACTGGGGACTGCTCTCCTAATTCATTGATTTTCTTCCATCCAGTAACTGCCTGCCCATATGAAAGGTATGGGCAGACAGCTTAATGAGAGTCTGCAGGACCCTGGCATTGCACCTGCGATCTGCTGATCATGAGCGCAATGCTTCAAAGGCCGCAGAGTAAAAACAAATAAGAAATGCACATTTTTTTACCTGCACACAGATGAAAAATAATGGGTGTGTGAACTTCCTGTGCTTCTAACTAAAAAAAATAAATAAATACAAATAACAGAGAGAAGCTGCTAACATCCAATCATATACCTAATGATCAAATAAATAAGATTAGGAACAGGGGTGGACTGACAACTCATGGGGCCCCCGGGCAATAGGGGATCATGGGGCCCCTGTATTCTTGCCCAAACTCAAAAAAAAAGCCTATGAAAAAGGTACAGGGGCATTTCATGGGGCCCCCTACTGACCCCGGGCCCTCGGGCAGTGCCCGAGTGCTCGAATGGTCAGTCCGCTCCTGCTTGCAGGCCAAAAACCTGCCTGCAGGGCCTCTTTTTCTCCTATTAAAACATTAGTAATAGCCATGCCTGCAGCTTGTGCAGGGAAAAAGCACTCCAGAATTGCATGCACATCCTCACTTTCCTTGGTCCAGTAAATGTCCAAAAGACAGCATTAAAGAAGCAGCAGAATAACAGGACATCCTGCAGCTGGAAGGTAATAAATCTTATGGTATTAGGATGCTTGAAAGGTAGCAGAGAATAATACAAACCACATATCATAAATGTGTCTGAAACAGGGAAGTAAATTCAGGAATGATATAATAACAATATAAAATTATTGCCACCCAGATATATAACGCACAGTAAAAAACCTATGAAAAAGGTACCAGGGGCATCTCATGGGGCCCCCTACTGACCCCAGGCCCTCGGGCAGTGGCCGGGTTTCCAAATGGTCAGTCCGCCCCTGATTAGGAAAAATTATGTAGCGCTACTCAAATGGATAAATGAATATATCACATATCATAAACTCATAAATGCATAATTAAATAAATGTGATAAAAAATATATAAAGTGACACACAGTGCAAATACTATAAACGTGACCTGATCCTCATGGGATCTATAAGTGTCTAACCGTGACCTGATCTTCTGCGGATCTAAAGTGAGCCAAGTGAATTGTAAACCATCAAGGTGATGGTAATACCAGAAATACGTGTACCAATACTTACATCAAGTAAGGTATAAAAGTAAATAGATCCTGAAGTGGGATATAAAGTGATGGTGAATACTCAACCAGAGAATAAACTAGTCCAAATGGGACTAATAAGTGAATATTGTTCAAAATAGGACTCCAATCAAAGGACGCACATACATGCAAGTGAATACTTCTATAAACAAATATGCACACACTCTAAATATCAGAAAATATTATACCAACCCAAACACTGAAGTGTTTCTATACAAATAGTTAAAATGAAAGTGAAAATAAATGCCAAGTGACAATATAAATAAAATAAATGAATAAATAAAATACGGAAGTAAAATGTCCGTGTCACACTACATAGAAATGAACATGCAACATAAACGCATGACACAGAACTAAATATATGTGAAAAAAGTCCAAACTGGTGCTGAAGCACCACACAATCCAATGTACAAAGACACTCGTGCCCATGGATAGTGAATCTGCTTATCACTGAAGGATATCTGTAAGTAGCTGAAATAGCTGCTCACCTCCATGCTTCGATCTGCAAGGGTCAAAACACTTTTAGAATCACCAAACTGGATCCTCCATGTACTTGATTCCTCTGTCACTGCTTACCTCTCCCTGCAACGATCTCCCTCTCAGGAATGTACGTATTGGTGGCGATATCCTCTCCAGGTGTAACAGGTGTGGTATAAGCCAGTATCTCAGTAAAAAACATAAGTAGAACTTGCCATAGTGTATTACCTTTTATTATATTCAGAAAAGAGCAAAGCCTTCCAAATTTTGCACTCACAATGTAATCATGGATCAACAAGCATTTAGAACCTCATGTTCTGGGTGTACTTGCATGGATGTACCCTCATGGGTGTAGTAAAATGGCGTCCCTGTTTCTAGAAGATGCCATGGATATAAGGCGGCCTTGAAGGACTGCCTTATGGGCTACCCACAGAGAAGCTGGGGAAATATCAGGAATGGTGTTCAGCTGAATGTATTCTTGGATTGAAGTAACTACTTCCTGACAAGATTTAACATCAGTAAGCATAGAAAAGTTTAATCTCCAGGAGTAGGGGGTAGGTGCTAGACCTATGAAAGTGATAGAGAGTGCTACAATGTTATGATCCGACCAAGAGCATATATGTATACCTGCCTTGCTGGAGTTGGCTAGCAGTATGGGGTAGCAATAAATATAATCCAGCCTAGCATGAGAGTAATGTGGGTGGGAATAAAAATGAATAGTCCCTCGCTCCCACATTATGTTCCCTCCAGGAGTCTATCAATTGGAAAGTTTCTAGGGAAATTTTAAGGGATTTTGGAAAGGCCGGGGAGGAAGGTGAGGATGAACTTCTGTCTAGAAGGGGGTTAGCTACCAAATTAAAGTCCCCTCCCACCAATAAAATGGGAGGATAAGAATTTATCCAGAACTGTAAAAAAGAAAAGGACGCTTGCACCACATTAGGTGCATAAAGATTGGCGATCGTGAGTGCACGACCCGAAAGGGTACCTTTCAGAATGATAAATCTATCGCCACCCCACCCCATTTTGAACTCATTACTATTGTGCTCTTATTCCCCTATTTGTATTTGTATTTCTCCCGCTGTATCCGTCATTTGTCACTAACCTATCTAGACTCTTCATGTGTCGTCCTCTCTCCCAATGCCGTTTTGTTTTTTGTTTGTAGGAAAATGTAATACAATTCCGATTGCCAGATCTTTGACCAATCAACCTTTTTGCTAGCCTTTTTTTTTTTTTTGTAGTGTAGTGAATTAACTTGATCTGATTTGAGTTGGTTTTAATGGTTACATTTAGCCGCTGTCCTGTTCATAGCAAACTTTTTTTGTGCAATGTTAAAATCCACTTTTCCTGCAAGACTTCCCCTAACTAAATTAACAAAAGGTTCATAGGGCCTTTTTTAAGTTTGAAGTGACCATTCTTGTTACTATCTATTCTTGGAGCTGCCTTTTGTCCGTAGGACACAGCGATCAGTGAGATCACTGGGGTGAGCGCGGGGGGCGCGCGTTCTGGGAAGATGTCATATGACGCCCTCCAGAACTGGCCGGCCGCAGTGAAGCCATCATTCGGCTATCTGTAGTCGGAAAGTGGTTAATAAACTGGAATTGATGTTGATATTATTCATTAAGCAATAATATATAATGTTTTTTCCATGAAGAGTGTTGTGGCAAAAGGTACTATACACCTCTGTCATTTCTCCACCCTGTCAATGCAAACAGCTGTCCTTATATTCTCACCATGCCCCATACACGTTAGACAGTGATGGCAAACCTTTTTGAGCCCGAGTGCCCAAACTGCAACACAAAACCAACTAATTTATTTCAAAGTGCCAACACTGCAATTAAATCTGAAGGTTTTAGTTTAGAAAAAACAACTCATACAGTTGTCCAAACTAATTGACATCTTTTTTCTTAAAAGAAAAACACAATAACAGAGCTTTCAGTGATACATCAACTGTACAATGTAGACTCAACTTGGGTTATATACCAGACTGAATATGGGGCAAAACTTACTCCACACCCTTTCCCTTTTTCTACATTAATGTGATGAGGAAGCACTGATGATGCACTGATATGCAGCAATGATGGGCACTGATAGGCGGCACTGACTGATAGCACCAACTGGTGGCACTGACAGACAGCACTGCTGGGCGGCACTGCTGGGCAGCACTGATGGGTCAACACACTGCTGGGCAGCACTGATGGGTGGCACCGACGGGCGGCACTGCTGTGCAGCACTGATGGGCAGCACTGATGGGTGACACTGCTAGTCACTGATAGGTGGACACTGCTGGGCACTGATGGGTGACACTGCTGGGCAATGCTGGGCGGCATTGCTGGGCACTGCTGGGCGGCACTGATAATCAGTGCCCTGCTTATTAGTGCAGATCTCCCCCTGTAACATCTGCCATTTATTGGCAGTACTTTCTTCAGCCGATAACCGGCAACTGTCATTGGACACAGCTGATCACATGGTAAAAGACCGCTGTGATTGCCCTTTTACCTTATCACGTGATTAGCTGGACACATCGATCACTGACAGCGCCGGTGCGTGCCTCTGGGGGCGCGCAGGGGGGTGTTCAAGGATATGTCCATGGACGCCCTCCCAGAACTAGACAACCGCGCTGTAGCTGTCTTTTTGCTAGTGTGGTTGGGAAGCAGTTAATCTCACCTCCGGCAATGACGGTGTGGTTTTCAACCTGGCAGCTCATTCCCATCCACGTTGAAGACATCGCCCCTGGCCCCGGAGAAGTGTGGGAGCCGCTTCCTCTTGTCCATGTCCACCCTGGCCCCAGAGACATGTGGAAGATGTAGTTCGATGGGGGGGGTGCGGTGTGGACGAGATCTGGATGGCGGTCAGTGTGCAGTCTGTGTGCGCTCATCTTCCTCTTCTTGCTGGCGTGCCCACTGAAATGGCTCTGTGTTCCACCTCTGGCACGTGTGCCATAGGTTCGCCATCACTGCCTTAGAGAGTTAATATTAATGTTAATATTGCAGGTACTTATATAGCGCTGGCAATTTAGGCAGAGCTTTAAATATTTATTGTACATTCACATCAGTCCCTGCCTTCAAGGAGCTTACAATCTATGGTCCCTAATTCACATTCATATGTACATATACTAGGGCCAATTTAGATAGAAGCCAATTGTAACAGGATTAAGTGTCCCTATTGGAAGATGTTCCCTCACATCTTGCTCTGGTAAAATTCTAAAATGTTGGATTCCTCTCTGCTTTCTGTCTCAGTGACAGTGGTTTGCACAGTTACAAACCAGTGGTAAAGAAACATGTTTGCTTTTGCATACACTTTAAAAACCTCTAATAGTTAAAAATGTTGTGTGTGGGCACAGGTGCTCTTTAAGTCAGACACAGCCAGGTAACAAGCATTTTTAAAAATAGTTCAGCAATGTCAGCCCCCATACTTCCATTTTGAAAGAGCAACTGTAACTCACTCATCTGCCCTCTGTAAGATGCTATAGAACATGTATTAGCTGTGGTATTAGATGTATACCTTTTTCACTGGTGGCATTTCTACTGCAAGTATATATGGACAATTACAGATGCCTATTATGAAATATAATTTTAAACACCTTTTCTGTACATATAAATAATCTAATAGTGAATTATTTAAATAGTGCAACAGTAATTGGATATCACACATTGAGTATTTGTATTTTATACTTTTAAATGCGGCTCTTGTTTTATTGTCTATTATATTATAGTTTACATTTTGATAATTTTTTGGCACTTAGCGCAGTTACACACATTTTCGCCTTTTCTGTACAATTGAGACTATAAAAGTAATATGCACATATAAGAACACATATTTGTTTGTTGTAAGGTAATATTTGGTATGATCTAAAATGTTATATTGATTTTAGCAAGTGGCTGCGGTTTTCCGCCGCGACTGGATTATGCACAGCCTAAAGATTCCTTCCTTGGTCAAACTACATTCTCAAAGGGATCAACTGTGACTTACATTTGCCGACCTGGATATTCCCGTATTCCTGGAGTTAGATCCTTTGCAACATGTATGAACGATGGCACATGGTCACCTCCCGGGATTATCTGTAAACGTAAGTTTTAGATTTAGTTTGTTTTGAAGTTCACAAGTTAATAAAAATATTAAAATAATCTTGAAAAGTTTTTGAAATAATCTTGAAAAAATCTGCTGTTCCCTCTCTTCAAGACCACCAAAGTTTGGGTATATATAGCTCTTCTTTGATTTTGGCAGCAGCAGGTAACTGGGGACATCATAAAAATAAGCATATCTATTTTAGTTCTGTATCCTCATACAGTTAAAAAAAATTGTATTTTCTTTCTCGTACAATATAGGACACAAGCATAGTTATAGTTAACTGGGTTATATGCAGTGATTGGACACTGACAAATCAGAGCAGTAATCCTTCCTGTGACAGACTGCCTGTCACCCCATTTGGGTGATTCCGTCAGAGAACTGCTTCCTCGCCATTGGGACACAGGACCAAGGTATTATAGCTGGGCATCGCACCCAAGACTAGGTACCACTAGCTTAGGTGCAAAAACTGGAACTACCTTATTGAACAGAAATACAGCTTTTATATACTTCAGAAATAGGGGCACATGAACAATAAAAACAAATATTACACACTGATTGGGTAAGAGCTTGATAACATTATCCTAAACAGTGCAAACGTAAACAGTACAGCTAACAGTGATCTAGTTAACAGTAAGTTAATCAACAGCCAAGCACCCAGACAAGCCAGGGAGCCCACCCCAGATAGTCTGGCACCTCCAACCCTGAATACACAAAGTACATTACACATGCTGTCTTTCAGGTGTTTGCTTTCACTTGTATAATCTGTCCATCATAAGACAAAACTCATACAATATTCCAACAGTCTGAAAAAGTGGAATTCATCTATCTTCATAGATTTCTTGACAGAGATTGTTGTTAAATATTTCTCTCCCAAGTTGAGGAGGTTATCCATCCCACTCTGCAAGAGGGCCCCATATTTCCTCTGACCAATAACCTGTACAAGGTTAATATTGCACCTTTCCATTCACTCCAAAAGGGAAGCTATAAAGGTGTCCGTTTATGACACACAGAATAGCTGAGATTCAGAGGATCACAGCTATTCTCTGGTCATTCACAGTTTATAACACCCAGGAGAATATGTTCAGCCCTTCTCTGGAGATCTGTGTTCTCCCTCCAGATTCTCCAGCCCAGAGCTGGAGAATCGGAGGGACCGAAAACTAAGCAGAGATAATTTACCTCTGCTTAGTAAACTGATTTTTTACTGTAATCTCGCGAGATTATAGTAAAATCAGCCGTTTTCCAGAGTTTGTAGACCGTTCTCCAGCGTTTGGAGATCGTTCTCCCTTCGTTTGGAGAACTGCTTCATAAACTGCATTCACAGGAGAACTGTGTTCTCCAAGAATACCGGAGAACTGAGCAGCGATCTATTACCGCTGGTTCATAAATGGACACCATTGTCTTTATTCAGGGAATTAATCCAAGCCTCATTCTCAGGGTTCATCACGTTATTTTCCATCATTAGAGAATGATGTGCTCTCTCCATGGGCCATGATCAGTGGGTGGAAGGCTAGCCACTACTCTTACTCTCCTAAGAGAGATTACTGGTTTCTCCTGGAAGTTTTCTGGGTGGTTTCTTCTTCCAGTACCAGCATGCACCAGCAAGCATAAAGTACAGCTTCCCAGTTGCTACCCTAGGTAGACTTTATGGGGCTGTATCCAGGCCGCCGCTGGATAGAAGATGTGGGCTTGGGTATGTATTGCCACTTTGGGCACAGGACCCTGTGTTTGGAGCTGCTCCTAGGCAACACATGAAATTAGGCACAGAGTTATATACATGTCTAAGTGTGACCCAGTCCCTTGGGGGTATGCCAATCTAAAGAGGATGAAGTCAGCATAGCTTAACATTCTGCTACTTGACAAGTTCTGATCTACTGTGGTGAGCCTAGACTTCCTGCCCTTTCCTCTGCCCAGTGTTTTGTGCTCTGAGCCCCCTGGGATGTACTGGAGTGAAGCTTGTGACACTTTAAACATATCTCACAGTCATAAGCAGGAGCACCAGCTTGGGCTTGTTTCCAGTTTGAATTTGGAGCCATTTGTTTTCTGTGATAATATCTCCCTACAGTTCTCTCCCTTCGACACCGTGGCACAATATTAGTCTCCCAAGCTCTATGTATAGGCTTTTCTTTTTCACCTCTGTGGTGTGAAATTGTTTTTCTTTCCCCTCCTGCTCTGCTGCAACACGTAAATCTTTGGATGCTACAGGGACTATGCAACTGCAAGTGCAAGGGATGACTGGCATTTTTCCTCTGCCACCCAAAGTACAACATTGCAACTGTCATGAGTACTCCTCTGGAGTTGTCCTGCACTGCTTATGGCAGATCCCAGATGTAAGGTCACAGGTCAGGAGGGCTTGCTAGCTTGTTTTCAGCTCAAAGAGGTAAGCTAGGCTCTTTCCCACAAGCCCTGTTCCTTTCCAGTACGAGATCCCACTACCTCTATGCAGTTGTCCTGTGGGATTAGATCACACAAGACCATTAACCCCACTCTACAGTGGGTCTGTGGGTAATCTCTAAGGATAATGTCTCACTTGTATGCAGTTTTATTGCAGAAAACCTATTGTGATCTAGTTTGGTCAGTTGTTAACTTTTCATGCTCCGCAATGGATCCATTAGTATCCTACAATGGTAATGTCTCACTTGCATACTGTCTGTGCATAAGCCTTTGTCACCAATGTCTGTTAACTGCTCCTATATTGTAGTTGGTTTGTGAGTAACCTTTCTTAGTGATGTCTCAGTTGTGTTCAGTGACCTATGATTACCTATCACGTTTAGCAATGGACAGCTGATCTGTGAATACCCTTTGTAGGTAGGATCCCATGAATATACTGTCACATAGCATCCTATTGAAATCTCGGCAAAGATGACCTAGTCACCTCCTGCCCTCCAGTGGACCTGTGGGTTGATGTTTGTTGGAAGTACCCTATTTACAGTACAAGACGTTATTTTGCGGCATATGGTGCTTTAGTCTCACACAATTACCCCCTGGGGAGACATTTGGGTCCAGAATGTCATCTCCAGAGGGTACAGGCTAGAGTTCTGTTCCTCTCTATCACCCTGTTTCCTCCTTTCCAAACTGTCATTTTCCCTGCAAAGACGGGGGGTATCTGCAGGAATGCAGCAACTGCTTGATTTGGGTTTTTTTCCCCTGTCCCCATGGAAGAGAGATTTCAGGGTTTCTTCCTCTGATGTTTTGGCTCTGATGGCCAAGACTGGCATTTGCCCCATACCAGAACTGAAATCTCTAAACATCTTCTCTTGAGTCCATGAGTCCAAACATTCCACATGGAATCAGCCAAGTTGGACTTTACATCTCTTCAACAAGGGAATCTCTTGGCGTCCATGGACATCTAGGATGCCTGTTTATACTTACCTGATTCAGTCTCTGGATAACTCTATGCATTTTTCATGCAGAGGCAGTTTATACCTAGCATTGCGAATTTCCAGCTTGATGTGGGATCCAGGACAGTCATTTCCTCCAACAGCTTGGGAGGTGTCCTTGATGGATGTTAGCCAGTGGGAGTGGGAATAGGGGGGAATCCTCAAGACATCCAAACTTCCCCATTAGCATTCTGGAACTCAGGGTCATTTGCCTGTCCCCTCAGCATTAAAATTTCAGGGACTCCCAACAAGTGTTCAGTCGGACATAGCCTTCATCAACTATTTAAGGGCTATAAGGAGCTGCATTGCCCTAGAGAAGCATAAATGATTCTGTATTGGGTAGAACAGCACATTCTGGAACTAACTTCTGCACTCATTACTGGAGAGGAATGTTGGAAGGTGGACTTCCTCAGTAGATAACAGCTGGACCTAAGGAAAAGGTCCTTTTTTTCCCAAAGGTGGGGGGTGACAGACACCAACTTTCTGATGTCCATGTTCTGCACCAAACTAGACAAGTTTGGTATCAGGTCTAGGAATCCTTGGGCTTTCTCTGTGGATGCTGTGCTGACTCTGTGGGATCAGCTCTCCCTCATCTACACTTTTTTTCTCCAGTAAAGGTCCTCTTTCAGCTGCTCCTCAGGATTAGGGACAAGCCAATTGTTTAGTCCATTCCTAGGTTCTTTAGCCCATCTGGTGGGAGCCAAAAATCATATATAGTAGTGGTATTGTTACCGGTCTATATATGACAGCTTCCTACTGTATTTTTTGGGGGGGAAGGGGGAACCATACGCATTTTTTAAAAAACATCTTGTTGTAGGATATGTTACAGCAACAAAAAAGTAAATTTACAAAGAAAAAAAATGATACAGGTTAAATTACTTGCAAATGACAATCATCTCTAGCTTCTTCTTCTGATTCAGCACACAAACCCCTCTACAGGTCCTGCAAACCTATGGAGGGGTCTGTGTGCTGTCAGTTTGTTTGTTTTTTTTAACAATGAAGCTGTCAATGACATTTAATTTGCTGGCAATTTAATTTTTTTTCTCTTTTAAATGTCAATGCTGCTGCAGTACTTTATGTACACCGAGAGATGTGCCCACCAGCAGGAGTAGGACATCCCCAGGCATGATGTGTAAAGAAAATGGACATTTTAATGTTTTATTTAAAAAAAAAAAAAAATATCATCTCTTCTCCTGGCCAATTTGATCATTTTAAAAAGTTTGCATTGGTATATGTTCCCCACGACAGTGCTCCCCCACCCTCATGCTATTTATTGACACCCATTTGCCTATTATCCCAGAAAATTGTCATTTTTAATTTGATAGATTGGGCCCTATTGATTTCAGTGGGTTTCGGGTTTGGCATCTGAACTACTTTGAAGCTTGCCAACCCTACTTGAACTAAAACCACAGCAGTTTGGTCTTCACTATTCAGGATTAAAGTAAATCTATGATCACAGCATTTAGTTTCATTTTATAACATCAGCATTGTAATAGAAATTAAAACAATAGTTATTTTTGACAATCCAATATAAGTTTACCTGAAAAATGGTGTGATTGCTGCCTGTTTGCTGGCCATCTCTTCCCACAACTTCCTGCATTCCCTGCATGCTTTGTAGATTCATTTCTGCTATTTACTTTCTATTCCTAATTACTACAATTTCCATGATACTTTTCTGGCTGCAATCTGTGATTCCTGTGCTGACTCCACCTCCTGAAACTCCTTTTAGCACCTCTGTATTTCAGAAGGCAGGCCTACTTATAGGCCAGAGTGAATATATGTAGCAGAATTCAAGGAAGTAAATCTGTGGGAATCTTCTCATAGCAAGTTTGCAAACATCATGATCATTTTATTTAATAATAGTAGGCTAGAAATAATTGAAATTCAATGTAGAAGTTAACATGTTATTTTACATTTTGACCATAGATAATGTATGCTGAATGCATTTAAAGTCTTAAAGGCTGAGGGTATTCTAGTGGTCCTTGTGATTCCAAATAGGCCAAGAAGAGCTTGATACTTGGGTGTACTCAGGCTCCATGGTGAACACACATGGTTGCCTCTGGACTACCCATTTCTATCATTTCAAGGTTTGGTCCTCCATCCTGCTTTTTGATTGCTTTCCTAGATGGCCTGGCTGTTGACGCTTAGGTTCTGAGAGGCAGGGGCTTGTTGAATCAGGTCATTTCTCTGTTTTTCCATGCTAGGAAGTTGATTTCTCACAAAGTCTAAAATGGTACCTGGTCAGTTTCCTTTGGTTGTTGCAAACCAAGGAACGTCTATCTTAGATGGTACACCGTGGGCCAAATGCTAGCCTTTCCCCTAGTCCAGTCATGTGGCCTATGCTAGGAGAATATCAGTAACCTTTCTATGTAAAGAACTATTTATGAAGTTGCTCAGAGATAAGGTTGTGTTGAGACCTTAGGCCTCCATTTTGTCTGAGTGATATTCTTTTTCATCTAACCTAGGACATTGCTATACCTTTTTTTGTGTTGTGACCTCCCAGGAAGTTTTTTTCCTCTGTTTGGGTGTGGTTCATGCAGTGAGAGTTTACCTCTTGATTACTTCTTCCTTTCAGCAAGTCGATTGCCTTTTTTTCATGTTAGGGTTTTTGTAAGGGTTTCCCGCTTCTCATTCCACATTCCACCTGTATAAAACGGATTAGGCAATTCGTTGTTCAAGCCTATTTATTGAGGGATGCCCTTCTACTCTGTTCTGGTAATGCACTCTCCATTAGCTCTTTTGGTGCCTTTTGGGCTTTCCAGCACCAGGCATTTGTTTCTCAGAATCGCTAGGCTACCACCTGGCCCTCTGTTCATACATTTGCAATCTTACCAGGTGGATGTTCAGGTTTATGCTGGTGCCTGCTTCGGTAGTGCTACTGACTGTTGTTTGAGTTAGGGTCCTTAACTTTTGGTTGCACTGACCTATTTTTCCTTGTGTTGCCCAGTCTTCAATTTGTGTTGCTTTTAAATGTCCTAGTCATTTCGCTATGACTTTGTCCTGTACTGTACAAAAAAGAAGACAGAATTTTTGACTTACTTGTAAAGTCCTTTTCTGGGTGTTTAGGACAGGACACAGGCCCTCCCGTCTGGCTGTGGATCCTCTT